TCCTTATAAGATATAAACGTTCCGTTGAATGTTCTTTGTAAGATATATACGTCCAGCTGAATGTTTTTATAATATATAAACGTTCCGTTGAATGTTCCTTATAAAATATAAACGTTCCGTTGAATGTACCTTATAAGATATAAAAGTTCCGTTGAATATTCTTTATAAGATATATACGTTCAGCTGAATGTTTTTATAATATATAAACGTTCCGTTGAATGTTCCTTATAAAATATAAACGTTCCGTTGAATGTTCTTTATAAGATATAAACGTTCCGTTGAATGTTCTTTATAAGATATATGAATGTTACTTAAGATATAAACGAGTAACCCGTAAAGAAGGGAAACACGTATACAAATAGAACTTACATAATCGGTAAGTTTCACTGATTAAACAAATAGTACAAAACCTGTGATAAAGGTAATGGGTTTAGGACCGTCTTTTAGAAGGTTTATCAGTGAATCTATCTGTAGATTTATAAATTAATTATATTTTCAACAAATCCAATTTGTTTTGGTGGAGCTGTTCCTCACTGTAGAGGAAAACGGACAGACACGAATTACTTAGTATACACTATATACCCCCACCTCTATCAACTCGAATTCATTAACTGTTAACGCCAGGAAGTTCGTTTATTAAAGCGATAACTCACCTGCACCCTTGCTTCTGACAGGTCAGTTTTAGCGGCAAGACGCTCGCGCGTATTAACACACGGGTAATGTGTTTTTAAGAACTCATTTTCCAAAACTTCTAGCTGCTCAGGATTGAAAGTTGTACGGTTTCGTCGAAACTTCGGTCTTCCAGTTGTGTCCAAACTTGGACCCTCGTCATTATCTTTATTAATGGAACCTTTAACAAAAATGATAATAATAAAAAAATTTTTACAGATAATATTCTTTAAGAAAGATTATTTAATACTTGAAATACTCCTGTAACCGATGATCTAATACCGTTTTTATTTCAATAAAGTTTCATTATAATTATTGGTTATAATGTTTAATATAATCCAAATGTTATGATTACTATGAATTATCTTTACTTATATTTATAATTGGTAAATATCAGATTGCATTCCTAGCTTACTATATAAGTTTAGGATTAACTTGTATATCTTCAACTGGCATTATTGGGATACAGGCCGAAAATGTCGTTAATAACGAGGGACCAACTGATCATTTCATGCTTTCTAATGCTTATAAAATCTGGTTTTCTTAGATGCTGATTTATGACTTTATATTTTTAATAAATTTGTAATTTATTGGTTCTTGGGGTTCTTGGTAATAAATTTAAGTGTGTTAGGCGAAACGTTCTGTAACATGGGTTAACATTTCCTAGTTTTTTCGCTGTAATTTATTTCATCTTATGGTCTGTAGTTAATCTTAATTGGTCCAAACAATCCATTTTTGTTTCTCGATAGTTTAATATGTTTTAGATCCATTTTTTCAATATTAAACTCAGATGAAACAAAATTTTTAGACACCAGGTGACGTTTTACATATGTAGTGGAAATAAGAAAGTATATATATATACAACCTAAAATACCCCGACGTGTTTGTTCTCTCTCTCTTTCTGTTGTTAGTTTCAATAGCTGCATAGAATTATCTGAAAGTGTACATGTGCACAAGCTGAGACAATAGCGTTACAAATGGTCGTTTATGGAAACGCGATTCAGCTTGTGTCGCGTATATATAATAAGCTAACGAAGATATTTATGAAAGCATCACTTGTATAGTCCAGAACCTATGATTGTGATGTCACACAATTTTATATCTAACTTAATAGGAAAATAACACACGTGTCGCTTGTAGCAAGGGAATGATGGAATGATGTCACAGCTACACACACGCTTGGACACCTGGAGACAATTATTTACACACGGAGACAGATTGTGACAGCCTTAGATACAGGCACAAACATACGACGTGTATGTATATTACATAGAACATAGATATGTTCGTGTGTTTAAAAAATTGTTTCCTAAATGAGTGTGTATGCTGTATATACGAATTTTCACGATCGGATATATCACTAGTGCTATCTCTACTATTAATTCTCCATGTTTAATATCGGGTATATCACTTGTGCTATCTCTACTATTAATTCTCCATGTTTAATATCGGGTATATCACTTGTGCTATCTCTACTATTAATTCTCCATGTTTAATATTGGGTATATCACTAGTGATATCTCTACTATTAATTCTCCATGTTTAATATCGGGTATATCACTAGTGCTATCTCTACTACTAATTCTCCATGTTTAATATCGGGTACATCTCTACTATTAATTCTCCATGTTTAATATCGGG